CAGGAGTTAGCAATGATCAACGACAATCTTAAAGAGTAGATTCTAAAACTAAATGAAGACCTGAGAAGTTCCCAGAAGATTGTCTGGATAGATCCTTTAGTGTCGATTAGCTCATCTGCCATTTGTGGATAACGAGCAAGGTGTCTCAAAGTCGAAAGTGCGTGTTTTGAAACTTCTTGATCAGGTATGCTTCGGCTTGCAGACCGGATCAATGTTAGCAACTTGTCTATAGCTCCAGCTGCCACAAGCTCTTCACAGCATTTGTCAGAGTATTTTGTTGCCGAATCTGTAGAGAAAACATATGTACAATTCTCAGTAGTGAGTGTTTAAGTCCGTTCACGTCGTTGTGTAAATAAAGGAAGCTTATAAACTCACCCAAAATTTCACAAATGTGAAGAATGTTGTGGACTTTTTTCATGCTCAGTAGCTCAGAGAGTGCCGATAGAAGCTTGTTTATCAACCGTTTCTTGTCGTCTATGTTTGCAGCAGAAGTTTGCATTCTTACTCTCAGTTCCAGAACTTGAGCTTTTGAGGCTTTGCGTGTGAGATAACCTCTCCAGTGTGACTGACAGATTCAAGGATAGAAAAAAAAGAGAACTCTTAGCATATAAAAACACGAAGAAACTTGAAACTTTTTCAATGGTTATATCTTACTTGAATCATGACAATGTAATGTCTTTCCATTGAAGTTCTTCGCCTGGCAAGTAAACCTCGAATTTGCCTCTGTATTAAGACTGCTGATTTTCGTTGCACCTTCTGTGAATGGTGAAACCTCCACCAACGCTGCAGTTTAATGATGGAAGGTAGCAGTTTTGTCATCTCAAAACTGTGTTGAGGAATTCTTGAAACGCCTTCGTCGAGTTGTGAATATTGTTGAGAAGCTCCTGTGATAATTCATATTGGAAAATCATTTGTATAATGAGGAACCAAATAGTTCATCCAGAAAAAACTGATGTGTAATCAACTAAACGTAAGATCCTGGAGAAATGGCTTAAAGCTAAAGCACCTTGAAGCCTGCTTCGAACAAGTTGTCCTCTAACGAGCCTCTGAACCTCCGTGGCTGCATGCTTATAACGATGAAATGACATCATGCAGTTAAATTTTCGGATAGCACTCTGAATGCATATTGCTGCTTTTCTCTGAAGATAAAACTTCCTTCTCGCCAGCCAACCACGGCAATATCTCTGCAGTTAGTTGCACAAAGTTAATACATTGAAGCAGCAAGTCAGAGATATTGTAGTTGTGACTTAATGATTAACTGGGAATTGATCAGACGGCCTAAATAAACTTACTTGAATGAGTACGGAGGAAAACTTGTATGTCGAATTCATTCTGCGTGTGATCCATCCACGAACATAAGATTGGATGATGATAGAAGAGATAACTTTTTCTTTATAACTCTTCCAAGCTAGCTGAATTTTGAGTGCTGCTTTCAGCTCATGATGAAGTTTGTTCTGATGCAGAGTGCTTAAACGCGCTTGATTGTGCCTCCTTACAGCTTTCTGAATAACCAAAACAGATTTCCTCAACTTGATGAAGCGACTTCGTTCAACAATGAACTTGACATATCTCGCAACAGGTTCCAAGTTGGCCGATCTTTCTGCAGGAATTAACAAAACTTTCACCAGAGAGTAACTTGTTGATCTGTCAATGGAAATGATCACTCCCAATTTGATATTTACCTGATAAATGCAAAGAAACTTCCTCAACAGTTAATTTATCGAGAACTTGTATATGTTTCACTGATAACCATGTCCGGACAGCAGCTTGTAAGAAACGGATTGCATTCATCTTCTTTCTAAATTTGCGGCGCGCATGAAGTCCCCTAAGATTCGCTTGTATGACATTTGCTGCATTTTCTGTAAGCAAGAGGCAAGAGAAGTGCTGAAATCAAATAGTGGATAGGTTCCAATATTGAATTCTCTATCGACAAAGAAACAGAAGGTAGATAAATAATTTCCTGAATAAACTCTAGTGATACAATCAAGTACCATTAATATATAACAGTCGAGAAGAGTAGCTATAGAACCTGAATTACCTCGCTGGGTACCCGTAGTGCATTTGCTAGACAAGGAGCCTTGCAGAGTTTGGCTTGTAGCTTTTCCAACAGAACTTTGGCTTTGGTTAGCCATGTCCTGCCACCAGGCTTTGATAGCCTTGAACTTTTTAGCAGCATCTACAATTAGCATCACACTTTTGACAATCAAGACCAGCGATACTTGATATTATCACCAAGCATACTTGCATCATTTAACCAATTGTAAGTAGCTGAGAACTCTATAAGAAACTACGGAGGCATCTATGGGAAGCATAAATAATAAAAGGACATAAAAGTACTGCAAATTACTGATAGAATTTCAGGCATCTAAAGAACTACTACCAGTTATAGACTTGCAGGCATCTAAATATACAGATAATGTAGGACAATTCAGAAATACATGAGTGCGAACCTTCACTATTTTCTTTTTCTGGTTCCTCATTTCTAGATGCTTCAGAGTTGCTGCAACTGATGCGCGAATATCTCCTATCCTGAGCTTGACAGCTAGAGCATAGTAACTTATGAAAGTTCAGTTGCTCCTGAGAAAAAAAGAATTTATAAGATAGCCTGTCAATGAAAAATCTAGCTTCCATCCACAAAATTAATCAAGGACTGGCATATTTTGTCAGTAATAAAGCAGTACCATATTTTCCTTGACAATCAGCTTTGAGGATAGGAAAGCCAACAGTATAATCACACTTTGGTTGCTAAGTACGGCATTATGTTCCAGTAGGTCACCAACCTGTAGAACCTATAGAGATAAAAATTGTTGTCAAGAAATAAATAGGATTAACTGACGCTTAGCCTAATAGAAATCCATTGCAAAAGGAAATGTTATTGTAATTCAGTTTTCATATCTCTAGTAATCTTTTATTCTTCAGGATATAGCACACCGTCAACTGAAGAAGAACTTAAGACATTCACAGGCTGAAATTTACCTCAGGAAAACTTCCCAAAAGTGCTGTCAACTTCTGCGAAAGAACGAAATTGTGAACTGCATCATTGTAATCTGTATTGGACATCACCGATTGAGGGCCTTGTGTACCACTAGGATCCTAAATAGAAATAAGTTTCCAGAAAATATAGCATGGCCTGTATTAAAAAAGTGGTGAAGAGAAATGGCCTAGGTAAACTTCAATGCAAAGAAACTGATTTGGAGTTAAGAACATTCCGTACCACTTTGTGGAGACAAGGACAGCAAACTTCTCGACGGAAATAGTAGTCAAGCAAGAACCATATCCCCTTTCCATCTACCAGTGATGCATAGTTTTCTAACTTGAAGTCGTACTTCCTGGTAATTGACTGAGAGAAGAATGCAAGACATGAAAATATTGTACATGGTTAGACATAAAGCTCCCACACTTTGGCTTAAACAATTACAAAGAGTCCATAATCAAGATAGTAATAAGAATACATTGGTGAAATAAAGTACCCGGATCCAGTTCAAGAGCATTTCCAGAGGACTAGACATAGTAATTTCATTACTCGGTAAAGAAACCTGAAATATTTGAAGAGAGAAAAAAATAGTGTAATTGGAGAAATGTCACCATTATATATCTGATAGAAATTATTCTATTCTTCTCGTTGAATGTACATAGTGTAAATGGAGAAATGTCACCATTATACCAACAATGGACAGAAATGGGAAAGAGCTATCCGAACAAGTAAGTCTTAGCCTTACCTGTTCCAGCCCCTGAACTTTGTAGATTTCCTCAGTCAAGAGTCTTCCATTGATCAGAAGAGGCAGCTGCCAAAGTCCAAGGAGCATTAAAAAAGAAAATCGGAAGATATCTCCAGCAATCTACCAAAAAAAATGGTGTAGGAAAACAAGATAAACTCACCTGCAAATGTACAAAAATGTTCCATAGCAGTGAAATAGTGAGCTCTCTGTCACCGTCTGCAACATCTTCTCCAGTTATCATCATTCCTTCGTCATCTTTCAACGGAACACCAGCCTCCTTCAGATATTGTAGTGCAATTCTACAATTGGCCAAATTCTTTTTTCGACTGTCGGATGGAACTATCATTTTCTGCTTTGATCAAAAGCCTCATGAGATAAAAGTACTCCTTAAATAAGATATAACTGGAAGTGCTTGACTCAAAATCAATTTAAAAACAAACCGTGAGAATGGACGAATCATGAAGAAGTAGTTGAATGGCTCTGCAGAGCCGCACACCATCTTGGAGGTCATCAAACAAGTCTCTCACTCCAAACTCATATTCAACTATAGGAGACTGCAAGAGCCATTTCAGTTATTGAATTAAGCAACACATATTATACTTAGAAATGTAAATCTCATATAAGATATTGCATCGACTCTAACTAAAAATTTACCTGCTGATAAGGTATTTTGTACCCTATAATCACTAGATGCGCGAGGAGATTCCCTTCTCCATGCATTACATCAGAGGACAAGAATTCTATATTCAAAGCAGAAGATGGAAACTTAGGCACAATAAACATGACATTACCAAGAAAACTGACAAACCAAATAGCAAAATCCAAGAAAGTACCGGTTATAAGTTGATGGCTAGACTTTATGCTAGATTTCTCTGAAAACATGAGGGGTGAGCCACCATCTATCCCATCAATCCCATACTTGAGCGAAAGGCAGCTTTGTGATTTAGCTCTATCAATAACAAGGACAAGCAACAGAATCCTCTTCAAAATCACGGTTCCAAGGGCTTCATAGTACCCTGGTCTATATAAACCCTCAACCATCTTGTTATATGCATAGGCTCTAGCAAGACCATCATGCGAAAAGAACTGCTTGTTAATCACCATCTTCAAGAATGCAACTTCTTGATCAGAGTTAACTTCAGTATCAGACAAAAACGAATCGCCGCCGAAAATGATATATAATCCTAAACGAAGCCAAACTTGGTTGTAACACATCAATGCCTTGATAGCTTTCTCCTTCAATCCAAAATCAGTTACAAGAGGACATTGTGGTTTCATTTTTATCCTCCCTTCATCGATATTCTGAAACAAGAACAATAAAGATTGAACCAACAAAAAACAGTATAAAGGCACTCTCTTGATACAGAACAAACAAACACTTACCTTAGCAACACGATTCATCACATCGAAAATCTCTTTGCAACTTCCTAAACTCAAATGAAATTGCATTCTTTGCTTCAAATCGTCTAAACTACACACATCTCTTAGAGATTCCTTAAGCGTTGAATACTTAGAAGAACCAATTTCTGATTTTTTCTCACCACACCAACCTAAATCCCGCAATCTTTTAGGGCTTCTCCAAATTGTATCAACTCCTACAGATTTACTCTCTCCTAAAGCCTCACCACTATCTCTCTTCGCCTTACGCGAAACTCCTCCAACGCTACTAACACCGGAATCATTCTCGAACGGATCGCAACCGCAAAATCTAGGGTTTTCGAACAAGAAATTGAGCCACACAGTAAGCGATTTAGCAAGAGATCTAAGAGACTTCTCTTTCTTTAACTCAGCTTTACGAGAAGATTGCGATTGCTGAAGTTCGAATGCCCTGAGCCGCCTCGAAGAAGAAGGTGCGAGTTTGGAACGAGACATGTGAGAGGGAACGATTGAAGGACGACGGAAATTAGAAGAAGACGAAGAAGTTTTTGGGGTTTTTTTCGATGCGGTGAAGAATTGTGGATACGGAGAGTTAACGTAATTGGAATTTAAAACTGAAGAACGACGCGGTGTTTTGTAATTCGATATGTCGGTTAGTAACGACGACGGCGGCGGATTACGCAGCGGCGCCGGTGAAGCGCACGGTGGTTCGTTTTCATCCATCGGTGAAGAAGAATCGTTAGAGAGAGAGAAAAAAAAAGAGTCGTTGTTCAAAATCTATTTGAATTTGAAAATTCGAAAGGATTAATGAATAAACAGTATAAAAAGATTTTATTGCAACGGTTCAAAATAGTTGGCAATCTCGCCGGTTCAGTTAATCCCACACGAACGTCGTGCCGTTTGAAAATAATGAAAACGCGGAGACGTTTACGATTGCTTTTTACTTTAAAACGCAGCGTTTCGTCTTCAACCAAACCTTTGTAGTAAAGCTGACGTCAGAGAAGCTCTTATGATTGGTTAGTGTGAGACACGCGCTTGTTTATTCGTTGAAGTATTGTCACTGTCACAGAGATAAATCCGTCGTGTTTTTTTTTAATATATATAAGCCAAAAGCAAAAAAAAAAGTTTATCAGTGGCTTTCGTTAATTCAAAGCTTCTGTAAATAGTTCGATTTTAAATCACAAATTCATTGCAACGTAAGAAGCTTCTAGAGATTCCGATTAGGGTTTGGTTAAGATTTTCCGGTGAAATTGCTCGGTGATCGAATCGACGGCGATTTTGCGTGGTAGGAGGAGATAATGGCTCAAGCCGTAGAAGAATGGTACAAACAGATGCCGATTATAACCCGTTCGTATCTCACGGCGGCTGTAGTCACCACCGTCGGATGTTCGCTCGAGGTATGTTTGCTTCGTCGCATTTTCACGGTGCCCAAAAGCGTTTTATTCGAAAGTTTGATGTTATCTGGCTGTGTAATTGATCTGATTAGTCTTTTTCTCCGGAATCGATTTTTGATCTCTTTCTTAGAGGAATTTTATTTGACGGATGTGATTTAAATTGACGGGTTAGGGTTTCGGTAGCTTAATTCCAGTTTTTTTGGTTGAAAAATTGAATTTTTGTTTTTTTAGAGGTGAGTGTTGTGGTGTTCATGGCTTATGTTCACTTGTTATGGTAATGTAAAAGGTCAGTCTTTATTGGATTTGAGGTGGCTAATTGTAGAATTACATATTTTTGTTTGATTTTGTGGAACATTTTGCAGATTATATCTCCTTATAATCTCTACCTAAATCCTACCCTTGTGGTGAAGCACTACCAGTTATGGCGCCTCGTTACAAATTTTCTTTATTTCAGGAAGATGGGTAAGTTCCTTGTAACTCTGTAGTTGGATACACCATTTGGAAGAACCCGTTTCTGTTTTTCGCCATAGATAAGGTCTAGCTACAAAATGTTGATGGGTGTTTGAGTCCTAGCGATTGATTTTATGTTATGCTTCTTGTATGAATTCATTTTCCTTTGTAACTGTCAAATATAAGTTGTTTATCAATTTTTTGCAGATTTGGACTTCTTGTTCCATATGTTCTTTCTAGCTCGATACTGCAAACTACTCGAAGAAAACTCCTTCAGGGGAAAGACTGCAGATTTCCTTTACATGCTCTTATTCGGAGCAACTGTTCTAACCGGTATTGTTCTAATAGGCGGAATGATACCTTACTTGTCTGTCTCATTCTCGAAAATTATCTTCCTCAGCAACTCATTGACTTTCATGATGGTACCTTCTATCTCTCAATACTGCAATTCCAAACCAATTCTCTAATGATTTTGAAGTCATCTCAAGATCGTCTCTGTTTTTCAGGTTTATCTATGGAGCAAACAAAATCCTTATATCCACATGAGTTTCCTTGGCCTTTTCACTTTTACGGCAGCATACTTACCATGGGTGAGTTGGACTTTGGACTTTCTCATTTTCTTTTTGAAGCTTCCTAACTAGATCGATAATCTGAATCAACCTCTTTTGCTAAATTCTGAAATTGCAGGTGCTTCTTGGGTTCTCTATCCTTGTTGGTGCAAGTGCTTGGGGGGATTTTCTGGTAAACAATCTCTCCTAGTTTAATTTCACCCATTTCTTCTATCCTCTCTGTTCATACTCATCCTTACTGCTTAATCCAACTTACAGGGAATGATAGCGGGTCATGCATACTACTTCTTGGCATTTGTCTATCCACGAATGACGAATCGACATCCCTTGAAAACTCCGTCTTTCCTCAAAGCCCTGTTTGCCGATGAGCCTGTCGTGATTGCACGGCCTGAAGATGTGAGGTTTGCTCCTGCGCCTTTCGACGAAATCCACCAAGACTGAATCTTGATCTTCCACAAGAACCATCCACACGCATAGACAAAGTGTTATTCAGATTATGTACACATTCATCGACTCTGACCTTTGTAGCTGTGGATAATGTGGAAGTCAGGCATTGTTGGTACCTAACCTGCCTTGTTTTCTTGTTGGTCCAAATTTGTTTTTTCCTTCTTGTGCATATGAACGAAATTGTGTACACAATCTCCGAAATTCTGATTTATAGATTTCAGTCATCAGATGATTAGATACTGTCTCACACAAGGATACACTTCCATGTTTTTAACTACACAACTGAAAAACAAGAAAAGGACACAAGCCAAACCTCTTCAAGAGCCTTAATAAAATCTGAAATAATGTCTTAAAAGTTTCCTCGGTGGTAAAGGT